TTTAACTATTATTTCTTCTCGTCTGTCTCTCTCTACTTTTATATCTTCTCTTCTTCTTCTATCCCCTCTTTAAAATGTACACACCACCCCCACTGTGACATTTTTGGCGCTGCGAACAGGATTCCTTTTGAATGTGTATACCTCTCAGTCTATGATAGATGGTGCTATCCATAGTGTGGTATATGATTCTTAGTGGCCGTTCAGTGTTTTGGTCGTCAGTTGGTAAGGTTTGAATTCCATCAGTTAGGAGTTGTTCTATCATTTACGTTCTTAAACAGAGTTGTTTAGTGGATGTATTATTTCCAAGTTTTGGTGGAGAAGTTGCCAGTAGATCTCTTTGAGGTGTGAAGTTTTGATTTAGAATTAGCAAGCCAACCCGGTGCGAAAAATTCAGTTGAACCTCCTAAGCAAGATGGACGAGAGCACTCGTGTGAGCAGTAACATGCACCATGAAGGCAGTTCCCTGACCTCGGCGGTGGAAGGATCCTGTTTGTCAAACAGACCAGGGTGTACGCACATCGTTATGTTGCCAGAGCGCGTAAACATAACGCACTTTGAGGGGGCATCAGATCCCACGGTCACAGATGAATTCGTTCGTCGAGTCCAGTCCGTGTTCAGAAATGAACGGATGACTCCGGCAGATCAGATTGACCTGGTGCTTGATCATGTCACATCGAGTGTCAAGCAAGAGCTGAAGTTGCATCAAGCGGAGAATGCAAACGAAATGCTAGATGTCCTACAGGAAGTGTATGGGGAGCATCGAAGTGTTGTGGAGCTAGCGTCTGCATTTTTCTCCCTACGGCACGGTGAGAATGAGACTCTCCGTAGTTTTTCTCATCGTTTTCATGAAGCGTTTCAAGCGATTATCAGTGCGCAAAAGAAAGTGAAAATGTCCCCATGGGATACGTCGATCTTGAGAGATCAATTCGTGGTACAACTGCGAGACACAATTTGCAGAAAAATAGCCCTAGAGAGAATTCACCAAGATCCTAGTGTGACTTTTTTGTCCATCAGAAATTTTGCTCTTAGATGGGTGGGTGATGAAAATTTCTTTTCTAACAACGTGGTTCTGACTAACGAGTCAGTGATGCATGTTGATGTTGTGAGTTCTTCAGTGTCGTCGAGTGAGAAGCGTGAAGTGTCCGTTTTGAGGGAGAAGGTGAAGCAATTGAAACAACGAGTAGCAGCTTTGTTACAGCCTCCAGTACAGCGTAAACGGTGTTTCCTTTGCCAGTCATCATCACATCTAATGAGTGCCTGTCGACAGAGAACAACTGTCGGCGATGTTCGGCGCCCTATTAACGTGCAGAGACGAGAAGCGTCTAACTACAGCAAGAACAACGAGACTGGGCAAGCGTGGCGTAAGAGGCCACAGGGCTCATGTCCAGTTGTACTATCGGCAGGGTTGAAAGACCCTGCCAGTGCGAATTCAGTCGAGAAACCCCATGATAGACAGATTCGCGGAGAAGGTGAAATGAGGTCAAAAAGGAAGAGGCGTGGCAGGAGAAGGAGACAGTGTGTGTCTTCCAGTCAAGGTTCTACTGCTCAAAAACAGAGCAGTGACAATTCAACAGCTATAAATCAGCTTTCCGCTGGTGTATCTAGCACTGAACAGTTGCCGAGCAGAACTCAGCACAATGAAAATTCTGCCAGTTTGAACCAGTCCTGCACAGCGTTACCTAGTGAAGTGCAGTTGACTACAGAGACTGTTAAAAGTAATTTCAGATTCAAAATAGGCGAGAAAGTACAGTTGAAACTCGAACCAGAAGAGGGGGACATGAATGACTATTGGTCTGATGATGTGTATGTTGTCCTGCGCCTTCCAAATGCTACAAGACCACAATACGTATTGACCAGCAGGGAACATAAGAAATTGCGCCTCATAGCCAGAGAGGAGGAGTTGAGGACATGTCTTGTGAACTGTTGACCCAGTTAATGGTGGACACAAAGAAATCCGCTGGTCACATTGTGCAGTAACATTTGGTATGAATTTAATGTGGTAGTGTTCAGAGTTTGTGTGATGTGAAGATCCTGCAGCCACAGGTCCAGTCCAACAGAAGACGGCTGATTATATGTTGTGTGGTGAAACAATTGTTTCTGTTGATGAGTTTTGTACTCAGAGCTGTATTTGTTACGCGTGTTGTTGTCTGGATGTTTTGGTTTGTCAGAACAGGCGACAAGCACAGAGGAAGTGATGACTAGCGTCCCGCTACGGAATGTCCAGTGGGCAAAGACGATTTGGATAGGTGTTTTGTCTTTTGTTGCGAAACATGTGTTGCTGTTTTTTGATGAGTTTGTAGAAATGTGTTTGTGACATTTGTTGTTATGATGGTGTTGTATTTGTGCCGTTTGTTGCATGTACTGTATGTAACAGGTGGTGACTTGGATCCTACAGTTGCACATCAAGCACACAGGAGAACTTGATTACGTATTTTCTGAAGGAAAATCCATTGTTTTTGTTGAATTCATAATTTAGACATTTGTTAATGATGCAATGATGTGATGCTCTTTGCTGATGGTCTTACTAAAAGGCGAACAGAGAGATTATAGACATAGGAAGGTGTCTATTGATAAGAGGCGAGAGAAATCAATCCCTGGCTGGAGGGTCAGGTTCTTCAGGAATCAGAGTGGCACTGATTCTTCGTTAGGGGGCCGGAATGTGACAGTACTGATTACAGTCACGTTTATGACAAGAAGGAAATAGAAGGAAAGAAACACACGGAGGAATAAAGAGGTATAGAGTCGCTTGAGATAAAGAGGGTCGTTAGTCTAACAACCCTGAGGGCATTGACTCAAGAGTCGACAAAGACGTGGGTGCATGCCAAGCTTGTTTATAAACTGTGGTAGGCCAATATACTCGTAAATTAACAGAGGCAGGGCAACGAACAAAGCAAACGACACAAGATTTCCTGGGGATTTTCCATCCAAATATGCAAAGTGGCTTGGAATACCATCTTTGGCGGGAAAGAGAAAGGTTCATGAACCTAAGAAGATAAGGTTCGTGAACTCAGGTACAAAGGAGAGAGATATAACTAAGTGGCGTCAGGGGTATATACACTACCAGCGAGTAGCCAGGGAGAAACTTGCACTGAGATCTCCGCCAACGAAGGATGCTGTGGGCATTCTGATTATGTCGCTACGATGGAGCTAAGTCCATACTTCTGTTTTGTGACTTGCCAGATAATGCACGAGATATTGCTTCATCTTATGTGACATGGCAGTTTCTGTCATGGTGTGCCGGGTTGGCTGGTAGATGGTATCTAGACTGCAGGCAGCAGTATGGCTAGATGGTAGTCGGTATTTGGCTATTGGTTTGCTGGTCTTTGGACTGCAATCAGCAGTATGGTTAGATGGTAGTCGGTGTTTGGAAAGAGAACAGATGGCTAGATTGTAGGCGTTATGTGGCTTATTATGTGTAGAGCAATGAAGGATATTCTAGGCGTCATTTGCTAGTTTATCGTTGAGTGGATTCTGCTGTCAGTTGCTGAGTCTTGTAGTGTGAGGACGTTCTGTTTATAACATAATATAACATCTGTCGGTTGTGTAACATGAGATAGACGACTTTGTAATGCTGTTTCTTAATAAACATGATTGTTAGTTGTTATTCTTTTATTCAATCGTTAGTTTGTTGAGTATAGGAGTGGTACTATTATTGTTAGTCTCTGTAGTCTTTATACCACCACCACTCCACTCTATATCTACTCTCTCTCCTTCATAAGACCTCCACTGACTATTACCTGATCGTTTGGGGTGTAGACTCATTACTACACTCTCCACACAGGAGAACCTATTGTCCTCTTATACATCCTTTAACTATTATTTCTTCTCGTCTGTCTCTCTCTACTTTTATATCTTCTCTTCTTCTTCTATCCCCTCTTTAAAATGTACACACCACCCCCACTGTGACATACACTCGAATCCAACTCTGGTGTGGATAAAGTCTGTTGATCTCTCCTTCTGTAGTTGATTTCATATCAGTGCTGCTCATTGATTGTGATATCTTCTTAATTTAACATTCAATCCTAAAATGGATACCGCAGAATGTTCTGGCAAGTCAAGGTGACCAACACGATGCTGATTGCATCATTCATCAAGTTAATTAGTCTTCAAAAGTAGCAGTCCAGCACCATATGCTGGGAGCCACCATAGTGTAGTGGCTAGACACTTGCCTGTGGACCTAAAGGTCATGGGTTAAAATCCAAATAGAGCCTGACTTTTTCTTTAAAAAAAAATTACATTTTCTTCCAGGTCACCCAGCCCAAAATGTATACCAGGTAAAGTCTTGGGATGTAGAAGCGGCCAGCGTGATGTTGAACACATTACCCACAAAATGCCAGTTGGTCTGTAAAATAGAGGTTTAGCACTAAATGCCAAATACACTTGAAGGCATGGAAAAGGGTCCTTTACTTACTACATTATGCCCACTGTGCCAGTGACTTGTAAAGGATGCTGCAGGACTTGTAAAGGATGCTGCAGTTACTGCATGCCCAGTGTGCCAGTGTCTTGGAAATGATCCTGCAGGTCTTGTAAAGGATTTTGCAGTTACTGTGTACCCAGTGTGCCAGTAATTTGAAAAGGATCCTGCAGGACTTGTAAAGGATTCTGCAGTTACTGTGTACCCAGTGTGCCAGTGATTTGTAAAGGATCCTGCAGTTACTGCGTGGCCAGTGTGCCAGTGACTTGTAAAGGATCTTGCAGTTACTGTGTGGCCAGTGTGCCAGTGACTTGTAAAGGATCTTGCAGTTACTGTGTGCCCAGTGTGCCAGTGACTTGTAAAGGATCTTGTAGTTACTGTGTGCCCAGTGTGCCTGTGATTTGTAAAGAATTCTGCAGTTACTGTGTGCCCAGTGTGCCAGTGACTTGTAAAGGATTCTGCAGTTACTGCGTGCCCAGTGTACCAGTGACTTGTAAGGGATCTTGTAGTTACTGTGTGGCCAGTGTGCCAGTGACTTGGAAAGGGTTACTGTACTGAAATATGCTTGTATTTTTATCTCTTACAGTTGGGGATAAAACTCCCAGGCAAGGCCGGTGGGAAGACCAAGACTAAGAGCACATCCTCTGCTCCTAGCAAGGGCCCTCCAGGTGAAGAGCATGGATTCAATGGCGGTGATCCATTTACTGAGTCTGTGGATGCGTCCGGCGCAAATGTCAATGAAATGTTTGAGAAATTATTGGTAGGCATTGGCAGGCTTGTACATACAGTGTCTGTTTGTTGTATGTTTCTTGTTGTTGTTCTTCTTCTTTATGGGAAGATATGAAAACCAAACAGAAAGTAGGTCAACAAGCTTCACAGAAAGGCAACACACAAATGGAAAAATAACGTTGCGGCTTCTTAACCTTCATCAGCACAAGCTGCTAATTAGTCAGCTTTTACATGTTTGTTAAGTTGCAGCTTTTTTTTTTTTCTAGAGAAAAAGTTGCTGGTACTTTCCGCAGAGTGTTTTAAAAAAAAATGCTGGTACCACAAAGTGTCTATTACAGCAATGCTGAAAAAAAGGAAACAATACTGTGTACCATTTGTCTACCGCCAGAAGAAAAGCTCTGTGTATATCTTATATGTTACTCAACTTATTTTGTCCCATTCTTCTGTTGAATTATGTCCCACTGTTATTTTAATTAGCTGTGTCTTGTAATTATATTGTTTTAACTCATGAAGTCGCAATGGCTTACACAGTAAGGTACACTGACTTTGGGGTTAGAAGTTTTGTAGTAACAACTTAGCAACAAAGAGTTGACAAGTAAGGAAAGACAGAGAAGCTCCTTAGTCAGCAGATATCAAAACCATACGAAAGGTAGAATGAACGTTGTGGCTCAAGATCCTTCATCATCACACTTTGTAAATCTACAGTACCTCAAGTACGAATAGGAATACACAAAATACGAACAGGATTACACAAAATGTGAACAGGAGTACACAAGATACGAACAGGAATACACAGGATAACCTAATTGACGTAACTCCAACAGAAATCACTTCTTCAGTAGAAACAAATAACAAACAGTACTGGATGTTTATAGTGGAGCGGGGGAGTAGGAAAACAATAGATCAGAACAACGCTTCATGCAGAGCATATAAGGAAAAGGCAAGCTGGTTAGATCCTGCAGTAAATGTGATATGATAAACACGAGAATGTAACCCGAGAATATGCAGGACGCCAGAGAAAAGTACAACAGGTAAATGTGCACAAGAGAAATGGCAGACCACTTGAACAAACACAGTAAGACATGATGGGACCTTTTGTCCTGTGTTGGATAGTACAGATACCTCCAGCAGTGTTGTTCTCTTCGCCTGTTATGTGTGATTGAGTTGGCTGGGTATGTATAAGGGGGGAGAGGAGGGTGGAGTTATATAATAGGACCAAAGTACTACAAGCTGGCAATGTCATGTGTGGCCAGGAGGTCGTATGCATAAATATTTAGCAATGATGGCTGGCTAGCTGGTTGTGGATCTTCAGAAAATGGAGTAAATAAAAGGAGCCCCTTTTTTATGCCAGTGGTATCATCTCCGTCATCCCCTTGTGGGATGCAATTTTTCGTCATTTTGAAGCCTCCCCCCGGCTGTTGCCACAGGCCGCAATATAGCCTGACGATTGAACGCGGTTTCTAGGACCTCTCCACGGGTGATCCTCATCCACATGATGGCACTTTGAGTCACGTCCTGGTGGGGTCTTACTTACTGTCGCCAGTGGTGTGTGAGGCTGGACTCATATGTTTTATAGACCATTTGGAAGGTGATGTGATCAACAACCACTGTTGAGGAAAAGGTAAAGGGCCCTTTTCCACGCCTTCATGCGTATTAGGTACATAGGAGTAGACCTATATCTCATAGACCAGTCAACACTTAGTGGTTCATGTGGGCAACGTCACACCGGCCGCTTTTACTTCACGGACTTAACCTCGTAGACATTTAAGATCCGGGTCAACCTGATAGCTAAAGTCGTTTAAAAAATGTCCAGCACTCTCTGGATTTGAACCTACGACCTTCGGACCCACAGGCGTCTAGCTCTTACACCGCGGTAACTTCCCAGTATCGCTGTGCTTTTGAAATTTCCGTCTGTCATTCTTGTTTTGTTCAATTACATGTTCTGAGACAACCGCTGATGACATAGTCTTATCAGTGGACACCATCCAGTCAGTCAATAGTTAGTTAATAACGGTTTCAAGAATGTCTGGTATGCCGCTGCCAATCAGAATTGTGGTTTTAACTAGGTCACTGTTGAACACTGATGAGGCATACCAGAATGCATCTTGACTGTCAGTCAACTCAACCATTTAACGCAAATGGAAATATAAAAATTAAAAGAAAAAATGCTGTGACTTCTCCTCATGGGAGGTTGGTTACCGTGTACCCGCTGCTGCGTTTAGGAATATTACATGAGGAACGCCCACGGTACAAGTCTTGTACTCTCGTTGCACTGCTCCTTAACATGCATGTCGCCGGAGGCGGCCATGTAGGGATGTTTCCTTCAGTGTCGGAGTGCATCTTCCTGAGAGGTAATGTACCATCAGTCTGCATACGAATAAGGCATATCTGTAAAAGGATGTGTACGCAGAATTCTGGAACTAGACGAAAGTCCAGAAGTGGACGAACAACCAGAACTCCCCCCCCCCCCCCGAGTTTACAGCTAGTAAATACGAAGAGGAAGAAAAAGAATACATATCTGGTAAAAGTAAAAACATTCACCGAAGATGACAGTTTGGATGAATAAAGTAACATCCGATGCAGTATCGTTTGTTTATTCAACGGATCAACGTCGTGGCATACGGATGTAACCCATAGCTACTCCGTTCTACTTCTAACTCAAGCCTGAGTCTGGAGAATCTCAGCGCTGTGTACGAACTCCGTATCACCGGCGAGGATCCTGAAATACTTTGAGTAGAATTTGAACTCCAAATTTTGCCCCGGGCAGCGCTTTTAGACTACTCTTTTTTTTTCAACTGCCAAGGGATTTTTTTTACGTGCGCAACAATGCACACGGGCGTTCCCTCTTACTACCCAGAGACCAGGGGAAATTACTAGAAGTCCACGTGAGTAAAAATTCCAATCTTACCGGGGTTTGAACCCGGGATCTCCAGCACTCGAGGTGGATGTCATACCTCGAGACCACTCAGCACCCCGCCCCCTCCCAAATTGCAGTAAAGGAAAACAAGTTTTGGCACAGCTAGCCTTCCTTCCCACTCCCCCACCCCCCGATGCGGTAAAGGAAACCAAGTATTGGCTCAGCTAGCTACACCCCCCCCCCCCGCACTCCCCCTCCCCCCCCCCCCCCCCCCCCCCCCCGATGCGGTAAAGGAAACCAAGTATTGACACAGCTAGGCCCCCCCCCCGCACTCCCCCACCCTTCGATGTGGTAAAGGAAACCAAGTATTGACACAGCTAGCTCCCCCCCCCCCGCACTCCCCCACCCTTCGATGTGGTAAAGGAAACCAAGTATTGACACAGCTAGCCCCCCCCCCCCCGCACTCCCCCACCCTTCGATGTGGTAAAGGAAACCAAGTATTGACACAGCTAGCCCCCCCCCCCCCCGCACTCCCCCACCCTTCGATGTGGTAAAGGAAACCAAGTATTGACACAGCTAGCCCCCCTCCCCTCCCGCACCCCCACCCTTCGATGCGGTAAAGGAAACCAAGTATTGACACAGCTAGCCCCCCTCCCCTCGCCCCATCTCCTTTTTCCCATTCCCGTTTGGTACTTACAGCACAAGACAGTCCTAATCAGCACATGTAAACATCTCACATCACACGCTGCATATTCTTTCTCAGCCTCTGCTACCAGTGCCAGACATGGTCACATACAGCAATTTAGAAATAAAAATCAGTACCCACGGAAAGTCGGCTCTGTGGCTTATGCGCTGCGAACGCATTTTGTAATGCCGAGGTGCCGGGTTCGATCCCAGCTGCGGACGGGTTGTCTTGCATTAGTTTCGACAGTGGTACCGAGAGCTGGCCGTTCAGGCGCAGTGGCAAACTACTGAACGTAAAATGTGCCTAGACAAACCACAACTGCCAAAAAATGTTGGGGTTGGTTCTACAACTTCCTGTTAGGGATACGCAACTAACTTAACTCCCGGAACTGCAAACTTGACCAGAAGAGATAAAATGACAGATGATGTTATAAAAGATCCAGTCTCCCGTTCTTCTTCTTCTTCTTCTCCGTTCACCGACTGTGAATTCCGGCGGAAGGTCCCGTTTAATCGTCCGCTTGAACTTTTGGCTTTTACCTGGACCTGAGTTTTGCGTGTACAACCGTTTTACTGGCTTTTGCCGTTTCCTGCCTCACGGGCAGATGTACTCCGACTTCGATGGAAGACGTCAGGCCTATTTCTAGGATGACTGTGGCCATATCCCATTATTGATTCATGAACCATTCTTGGGGGGAGGGGGGGGGGGTGTGGTGCCGGGGAGTTGTGGGGATAGAACCCTTTAAATGCAATTTTTTGATTATATTGGCATCCTAAATGTGGCTTTTTAAGTCACTGTGCTTTCAAAACTGTAGATACCAAAATCAAGGAACAGTCACGAGCTTTCTAATTATCATCATGTAGCGGGTCCAGAACGTCGCTCTCATCACGGTCTGCCTGAAAGAAACTGGGTCTCTCGCCACCTGTCCCGTCTTGTGCAATTTCATATCTAAAGAGTCACTTATATCCTGTGCCCATCTTCGTGTTAGTCGACCCATGCCTCTCTCAGCCAGTTTTGTCTGTGGACTTTATTTTTTGTTTTCTTTAAATTCAGGAACATTTTTCAAGTGGAAGAGCACAGGAAAGTGGTTGTGCCTTTTTTTTCCGGAAATTTCGTAAGCACAGTGATACTGAAAAGCCACGGTGGTATAACAGATAGGATCTCGCTTGTGGATCCGAAGGTTGTGGGTTCAAATCCAGACGAAGCTGGAGGACCTACCATCCTTGTTGAAAACATGTTTAATTCTATTGCAAATCCCATGGCTAATATAAGTGTATCGTTGGCGGTCTTTTCGCCACACCAGAGCTCGGTGTCGATTACCAGGGAGGTAGGTAGTTTTACCCCACCAGGACATCACACAGGCGACAATCACCTGGTGACACAAAGCGCAACCATGCGGATGAGGATCACCCGTGGAAAGGTCGCAGAAACCCCTTTCAGCCGTGAGGCCATATGTTTATGCCCCGACAGAAGCCAGGGTGGGGCTTCAAGTAACGAAAAATTGCATCCCACATAGGGACGACTGAGATATTGAGTAGTATCGTTGGCTGTCTTTTTGCCACGCCAGAGCTGGGTGTCGATTACCAGATAATGACAAAACATTATGTACATACTCTCAGAGGAAGAAAATGGCAGTTACACTTGGGCGAGATGGATTCAGTTAGAAGAGGGTGAATTTGATTTGCAAGTGATTGAAAGAATTGGACACACTTTTTTTGCATAGATTGATAGAAATAAGCAAATATTTGGACGGTTTTGAGCGAATTCGACTCTTTAAGTTGTACATAGTCTTTTTAATGAAATATAATAAAGTGGGGGTGGGGGGGGGGGGGGGGGGGGAGAGAAAAGGGACATAAGCAATTCCAAACTGGCAATAAACAGCTGACAGTTATTAGCGCAATGAGTGAAGTTTCTTTTCAGAGTCACTCGGTGATGGTGACCTGAGAGAGAGAGAGAGAGAGAGAGAGAGAGAGAGAGAGAGAGAGAGAGAGAGAGAGAGAGAGAGAGAGATGGTGGATAAATAGATAGATTATACATAGATGGATTATATGTAGATAGACAGACATGGATAAATAGATAGACAGACAGACACATAGATAGATAGACACATAGATACATAGGACTATAGAAAGATAGGCACATAGATAGATAGACTGACATATGGATGGATGGATAGATAGATAGATAGATAGATAGATAGATAGATAGATAGATAGATAGATAGATAGATAGATAGATAGATAGATAGATAGATAGATAGATAGATAGATAGATGGATGGATGGATGGATGGATGGATGGATGGATGGATGGATGGATGGATGGATGGATGGATGGATGGATGGATGGATGGATGGATGGATGGATGGATGGATGGATGGATGGATGGATGGATGGATGGATGGATGGATGGATGGATGGATGGATGGATGGATGGATGGATGGATGATAGATAGATAGATAGATAGATAGATAGATAGATAGATAGATAGATAGATAGATAGATAGATAGATAGATAGATAGATAGATAGATAGATAGATAGATAGATAGATAGATAGATAGATAGATAGATAGATAGATAGATAGGTAGATAGGTAGGTAGGTAGGTAGGTAGGTAGGTAGGTAGGTAGGTAGGTAGGTAGGTAGGTAGGTAGGTAGGTAGGTAGGTAGGTAGGTAGGTAGGTAGGTAGGTAGGTAGGTAGGTAGGTAGGTAGGTAGGTAGGTAGGTAGGTAGGTAGGTAGGTAGGTAGGTAGATAGATAGATAGATAGATAGATAGATAGATAGATAGATAGATATTTAGACAGACAGATAGCTAGATAGACAGCTAGATAGGTAAATAGTTAGATATATATCTGGATGGGTACAGAGAGAGAGAGAGAGAGTGTGTGAGGTATAGATAGATAGAGGAGCAAATCCCAGAAACCCCGTTCGTCCGTATAACACAGTTATATGAGGTCACCCCTACACATTTATGGTAACCTGCAAACTAGTGTGTGTCTGTGTGTGTGAACCCACTGTGTATTTATATTTTCCTACACTTTCTGAAAAGGTATTTACATATCGTAGAATGAAATGGGGTTGTAATTAATGTTGCAGACATAACTGGCAGATGTAACTGAAACCACTGCCATTAAATCAATGCTGTTTGACTGTAACAAAACCATGCAGGAGTAAATGGAAACTTTTACGTTTGCATATTGAGGAGGCACGCGAATGGTTACAACATTTCGGATAGTATATAAAGTTTCAGTCGGCTTTGTGTTTTCTTCCTTTGTTTACAGTCTAGCAAAGAGTTCAGTGTATTGCTAAAATAAAATGTTGTCAGTAAAATATAAAACAGAAAATCTTTTTATCTTTCTGTTTTTCTGTCTGTGTTTCTGTATTTTCAGTGAACTAACCACTCTTCCCGAACAATGACCAGTAGGCTGGTTAAATGTGCCAGCGCCACTACGACTGAACTGTTAAGATTAACAGTGATATTGGCGGCAAGGTTTATGCGCATTTCTGATAATTATCATTTCAGTCACTAAAAGTTACTATCCCTTCTCTAATGTTATTTGAAAAATCACTTTGACAAAACTATATATTGCTGTTACATCCCTTTAAACTCGAATGCTCTCGATACCACTGTTGAAACCAACACAAGACAGTCTGCTGTCGAATCTCTCGAACGTCAGATTAAACCCGGCACCTTAGAGTTACGAAAGAAGAAATCAGTGGAAGATTATGATGGCGTTGATTTAGTTTTTTGTTTAGCCCATTGGTACTTCCATTTGAAGCCTTATTGCCTGCCACTTTTAACACAGTCAATACGATTTCATGTAATCTTCCATTTGCAGGACGATATGAACTTAACTGAAGAAAAGAAGGCCCCACTTAGAGCCAAGGATACCGGTTTCAAGCGCCAGATGCTGACCATGCAGGCCAGGGGTTCAAGCAAGGTCAGTAGAAAGATTTGTTTGACGCCATCTTGGGTCGTCTTCATCGTCTCTTGTGTCACTATTTGTGAATGATGTGTCTGTTCCTTTCATATCATTTAGTGTCAGTCGAATCGTCATCAAGTGCGCCGTTTCTTCACGTCTTAAAAAACAAAACTTATTCTTCTTCTTCTTATTCCTCCTTCTGTCACACCCTTACGGACCAAAACGTCCTCGACTAACTCGCTAAAGGTCATCCTATATTTTGAAAAGGCGTACATATCATCCTATGCCCCCCTCCCCCCACCTTTTTTCTATGTTTTCAATCGAATGCTCCAGTTCTTATTTGTCCGTGGGTAAATTTTTTATGGTCTGTCTTTAATTTCTTTGACCATGTGGGTTCTGGTGTCAGAACCTTCTCATTATATTATCATATTATCTTAGAATTTTTTTCAATGTCCAAACATCTCCCAATTACCAACCGAATGTATTATTTGTGAATGAGCGTTCAAAGCCCATGTAAACTCCAGTTCCACGCGCCAACCGCCCTTTAAGTTTTCAACGCAAAAGGAAGAAGAATGCTGCGGGACTGCTATTTTAATATTGGATGAAATTACCCTCACTCTTGGCTAACGGTGACACAGATGGCAGGATGTAACCTAATATTTGGGCGATTCCCTGTACCAGGTGACATTGCGTCGGTGAAGCCGTTTCACGACACGGCGACCTCTTGATAGAAGCCGCTTCACGCGACCGCAGGATAGATACTTTAGCAATTAGTCACGCTGGTAGGAGGATATCGTGAGTGGGATCGAGGGTGTGGTTCGCGCAGCCACTCTCCTGACAGCCGAATCGGACATCTTTTTGCATCTATCAACAGTTTTGACGTCACGGTTCACTAATTACAACGCTGTTCAACTTATCTATCCTACGTTATAAGAATGGCATTGCACCGCAAAATATAAATAACTTGATAGCGTATGGTGAGCAGTAGACAATCTGTCAACAGCATAGTTGCTGCTACTGCATCTCCCCGTGTAGGTTCCGAGGACCCATTGTGGGGAAAACAAGAATAGACTCACTGCTTATCCAACACACATGTCGTAGGAGTCGACTTATTGTGACATCCTTTGAAGTCAGAGCTCATTTACCTGAGAGGCAAGGAACCACACATTTGCATACATGTAAGCCAGATCTGTGAAACAGAACAAGACTAAAGTCAAGAGGTGCACGAACACCCAGAACTTTCCGCTGGAGTTTAGAGTCAGTGAACGCGAAGAAGAAGAAGAAGCTACTGCTGCTTGTTCTTCCCTTTCTTCTGTTTTCTTGTCCTTTAGCAACAAAAAACCTCAGTACACTGTGTATTCACCGCCATGATGTTCCCAGTGTCGAAGCTCGCAGCTAACTGCGGTAACCGCCTCGCTGCATGCTTACGCCACTCATGCAGAAACGGTGACTTATGAAAGCGCTTAGTTACTAGTACTATAATGCTAGCCGCGCACGTATAATCTCGGTAGTAAAGCGACTAGGAAAAAATATCACATGACACCTTCTACGGTGTAACAGTTACACACTAACGCTTACATTTGCGAATTTATCACGCCTGGCCACTGTGACTTGTTAAGCGTGGGCTGTGATGTTTCGCCATCTAACAAGATAATCAGAGCCTCGAATTAAGTTTGTGTTCTTTCCCCCTCCCCCCAGTTAGTACAACGTGACCACGTTATCTCTGTCTTCCTGTTGTTCATTGACCGCCAAGTTTGCCAGTTGTCACTATGCCCCCAAAAATCATGCCTAGTTTGTCTCATCTGGTTATGATGTAAATCTGTTTCTGGGAGGACTCCCTCTGTGTTTGTCGAGTGGTAATGGACATGATTCCTGAAGGGAAAGTTTATTTTATCTGGTGGTGGAAAAAAGGCGGGGGAGGGGGGGGGGGCTAAACTAGCGTTCCATTCTGGTCTAAAGGTGCAACATAGAATAGCAGAGAGATGGTGTTGTCTTATTTCTGTCTGCGCGAATACAGAGGCTTCATTATAAATACTCATTTTTGAGAAGCAGACGGTGTCAGAACTGATGGGAGGCGAAGGACGTAAAGCATGAGGTAGACTAAGAACAAAATGAAAAGATAACATCAGATAAATTCTACAACAGCGCGATGTGTCCATGGTCGAGGCCGCCAAAAGAACAAGAACCGAAACCTTATATCTTCATGGACACCGGAAACGGTAAAACTGGAAGTGATGAAAAAAAAAATAATTGATGCTTTATTAATAATCTACACCAAAGAGGGGTAATCCACAGGTCACGGGACAGTCTAATATTTCAGTGGGTGGTAGATAGGCTGCATGTAGTCGGGGGACCTAGGCTGAACTCTCTCGTGGGACGTAGGTGGGTTGAGGTTAGAGCCAGTTTTAGATGTTTTTGGGTCGCTGAAAGCATCAGAAAGCTGGGAAACACAGTCTTACCACTCTCTAAAATGTTGGTCCTGTGACGTCATGTGGGGGTAGGATAAGAAAACAAAATTTAAAAAAACTAGTCATCCGCTGTTGTGTACTGACCTAAAACATGCGTATGCCTAACATGTCATACCCCAGCGACAGTCACTACTGTTGCAGCATAATCAGCATACCAGAATTCTCCGATGTCTCACTTCACCATCAGAGTTGTCATGGATGCCAGAGTTGTTATTGAAATAACAGACTTCACGGTGTGGTGAATGAGAGAACGGGATTGGAAGCACCGACTAACAGTTTTCTCCATCCAAGCTGTGCCTCTTAAAGGTTTGGCACCCCCGCGATTCAGCCCGTCACATCAACAGGACAGATCCCAGATATTCACTCTCCTTTAAAATTTTGAAGATTAAAGTCGAGAGTATCGACTTCATTGCACCGTGTTTTATCCCCTATGGCTCGGCCTTTCTCCGCAGAACGACAAGCCATCGACCGAGAGCGCCGCACAGTGCACGAACTCCGTAGACCCGGTGACCACCCCTAGCCAAACAGCTTTATCTTGACTGAAGCTGGAACAGGGAGGTGGCTTCTGTGTTGAAAACTGAACTTGCTTTTTCATCCCGATGGGATTTGGTTCTGATTTATCGGGTTTAGCTGTGTGAGTTCCCGGGCTCCATTTTGGAGAGTCAAAAATAGACCCACTGCCCCTAACAAGAATGTCGTATGAGGCAACTATTTATGGGGGTTTCCTTCAAACCCTGAATGTCCTTGCCTGAGAGGCAATGAACTAGCATACAAATAAACCCCATATGTAAAACGGGTGTGCACATAAAACTTTAGTTATGAAGCAAGACTAAACTCCAGAAGTGGACGAACAACCAGAAATTTCCGCTGGAATTTACAGCCGGTGAACGCTAAGAAGAAATAGTTTGTTTGATGTATCTGTTATTTAGCAGGACAGTATTGTCGTGTGTTGGCTGCAGACTCGAATCCAAAAGGCAGTAGTTATATGTTGGGTTGGAGTTAAGGTTTCAAAAGGCTGTGTTTCTATTCATTCCGCGGAACGCTGTTGTTCGCACACATTGACGTCGACATACTTGAGATGACTCAGTCAGTCGTGTGTGACTTGTTGACAAGATTCACTTAACATTGGCCTTCCACCGATGCATCTGTTAGCAGAGCATCGTACTCTTCAGCTAGCGGCTACAGTTGGCCGCCTTTTAGGTTAACTTAGCTGACAACATCCGCCAAAGGGATATGTACTGTTAACGGCAACCCGTTTGTGCGCAAAGTGGTGCTGCCGCTGTGTGTTGTGAGCCGAGTGTTGCTTGTATCTACACAGAAGAAAGGGTCGGTCATCGTTTTATTGTAGCCACAGTCTAAAAGACAGTTATTTGACAACGTGTTATTGTGGCATAGAAAGGCATCAGTATACAGATTGTGCCAGTACATGGATATTGCGGATTGAAAGCTATGGAGAAGCATGATCTCACACGCCTGTTGATGATGTACGAGTATTTGATGATTATAGTGACACATGCACGTGGAGTATTTTGTATGTGGGACATAATGGCTTAATTGTGCGAAGTTCACATCCGTCTGGGAGATATTTAAAATGGTTAAACAACAGTGGAGATACAAACAGCAAGCGTTAATCTCTGGAAACCTCCCCTTCCTCTATCCTCCATCCGAACGTGGACTCCAGTAACTCACGCTAGGTATTTTTATCCGTTGCTGTCGATGTTTAACTTACCCATACTCTCCTCGTCTGATCAACTTCTCTTCTTCTATACATTTCCCATTGCTATTTTCTTCGTACTCTATGAACACACTAACAGTAAACATCAACAAGACCCAGCAAACTCAAACAGAAAGCAACATACAACAATTTTCCGTCTACGAACAGGACACTATAAGCTCAACTACCACATGCATAAAATAAAGATTCTACAGTCCCAACAGTGTGCTTGTCAAACAGGACCACAAACACCTGAGCACATTCTGCAGACCTGCCCACTCTACCTGCAACTTCGAAAAGACACTTGGCCTCAAGAGCAAAGTGTGCAGAGCAAGCTATGGGGAACCACGAAAGACCTGCAGCTGACATGCGAGTTCATAGAGGCAGCCCACCTGATGGTCTGATCTGGGCATACGAAATCGAACACAAAGAAGAAGAACGAAGAGTACTCTATAAGGCTTCTCTCAGAAAATAGGTCGTATTTCATAGAAAACAAAAACATCAAATACAATAATAGTTCAGGCCAGACTAGGGATGAAAAGAGAGATACTGAAGGAATTAAACAAGAGACAAGTGGAATATGTCGGCCACGTTACCATGTAACACTCTTATGAAAACCATACTCGAGTGCAAGCGGGGAGAGGGGGGGGGGAAGAGGAACAACATCAAGATCGTCCATTACCTGTCTGTATGTCTATCCGTCGTCAAACCTACGCAAGCCAGGCACGATTCATTATGCGAACGTGTGAGTGATGACATAATAGGAAATCAAAGGATGATATGCTTTCTGTGAGCCTGGGTTAGCGTATCGGTCATCTACCCGTCTCTGATAAGGT